GGTGGACAATGAGGGAATCTTTGGAGTTCTGTTGATCATATTAATTATATGTAAAAATTATCTCATATTTTTGTGGTATTAAGTTGTTTGGTTAAAAAAAGCGTTCTTCAGTCTTTTCATCTTTTAAAAATGTGTTAGCTAGTGTACGTAGTATATATATAAAAATGTTAGGAATGGCTGAAATTTGGAGGATTCCATAAAATACTTGCACATATAATATCTGTTCTCATTGCTTTTATTTAAAAATTATTTTCCAATGCCAATTTAAGCATTTATGCAATGTTTCTAGACAATTGACATTTTTATAAATGTCTGTGGTTTTTCTCGTTAGTTTGTTTTTGAGATGGAGTCTCATTCTGTCACTCAGGCTGGAGTTCCATGGGTGATCTCAGCTCGCTGCAACTTCTGCCTCCCAGCTTCGAGCAATTCTCCTGCCTCAGCCTCCCTAGTAGCTGGGATTACAGGTGTGTACCACCATGCCTGGCTAATTTTTGTATTTTTAGTAGAGACGAGGTTTCACCATATTGGCCAGGCTGGTCTCAAACTCCTAACCTCGGGTGATCCACCTGCCTCAGCCTTCCAAGTGCTAGCTAGGATCATAGGCATGAGATTGCAGCTGGCTAAATGTCTGTTTTCTTAAAGGTTTTAGGAAATGATTTTTTAAAATACTGCTGTGTGTTTGTGATTTTTTTGTTTTTGAAACGAAGTTTTGCGTTTGTCACCCAGGCTGGAGTACAATGGCCCGAACTTGGCTGACTGCAACCTCTACCTCCCGGCTTCAAGCGATTCTCCTACCTCAGCCTCCCAAGTAGCTGGGACTACAGGCATCCGCCACCATGCCCGGCTAATTTTTGTATTATTTTTTTTCAGTAGAGACGGGGTTTCACTGTGTTGGCCAGACTGGTTTCCAACTCCTGACCTCAGGTGATCCACCCGCCTTGGCCTCCCAAAGTACTGGGATTAAGGCATGAATGAGCCACTGTGCCCGGCCTTGTGTGTTTGTAATTTTAAGAGAAACAGGTTTAAAATGTGCATTTATGGAGCTTCCCTTTCTTGAAAATTTTATAAATGTTATTAAGTAGCAGCCAACAATATTTTCATGGTAAAGTTTTCTTTTTAATGCTGCTAGTGACAAATGGTAGATGAGATGAAATCAATATTCTTACTTTTCTGTGTTGAAATGAATAGCTATTCATGTTTCAGGAAAAAACAATTGCGTATTTTAAAAGATTATCAGAAAAGTGTTCCTTTTTTTAAGGATTTAGAATTGTAGTATTAGTCTGTCAACTAAATTATGCATAATTTATCAGAATAATTTGGCTTCAGAGTATTTCTTTTAATTTTAAAGTTTTCTCTTTGAACTAATGAAGTACTTTATGTAAACATTGAAAAAGTACACTTAAGGCTGGGCATGGTGGCTCACACCTGTAATCCCAGCACTTAGGGAAGGTGGAGGTGGATGGATCGCTTGAGCCCAAGAGTTTAAGACCAGCTTGGGCAACATGGTAAAACCCCGTCTCTACCAAACAAACAAAATTATCCGGGTGTGGTGGTGCTTGCCTGTCCCAGCTACTGGTGGGGCTGAGGTGAAAGGGGATTGCTTGAGCCTGGGAGGCAGAAGTTGAATGCGCCAAGATTACCCACTATACTCCAGCCTGGGTGACAGAGTGAGACCCCATCTCAAAAAAAAAAAAAAAAAAATACACTTAGGAAACAGACAACATTTTAATTTAGAATATTGTCATTGTTTAATAATGGTTTCCAAAATAGTTTGAAGAAGTGGTATAATTTAATAGAAAGAACACAGTCTTGGAATATGAAAGGATCTTGGTGTGAATCCCAATTCTGCCACTTATGTGGCTTGGAATATCTAAGGATCTTGGTGTGAATCCCAATTCTGCCACTTATGTGGCATACTTCACCTCCTTTCAGTTTTTGAATCTGTAAAATGAATATATATTTATGTTTCATCTAATCTTTTTTGTTTTTTGTTTGTTTTCTTCTTTTGTAGAGACAGGGTCTTACCATGTTGTCCAGGCTGGTTTTGAACTCGTTAGCTTAAGTGATCCTCCTGCCTCAGCTTTTCAAAGTGCTGGAATTAAAGGCATGAGCCACCATGGCTGGCCAAGTCTAAGGCAGATATTTATTCAGTTTTTAATATTTTCAAAATCTACATGAATCTGAAAATGGTGTATTTAACTGGCTATGTTTTTTCTTTCTGCACATTACAGAAAATAATGGTGCTTCTTATAATTGAGGATATCTTAAATGCAGTGATAATACCAGCTTTATAGACTTGTTTTGAAGTGGAAATTGGATAATATAAGCACATGGAAGATATTCCTTAAGTACTAGTTTTCTTTCTCTTTTTCTTATAACGAGATATGTTAGTTTTTATGATAGTTTGTTTGGGGGATTTGTTGTTTTATTAGGAGAATCAGAAGTTTAGAGCTATTAGGTAAAGACTCAGGCGTCAATATTTTAAGTTCTCACATCACAACATCTTGTATCTATATTGCTGAAACATTTTTACTTTGGAGAAATGGCCATGTTTTGGGCAATAATAATTATTGTATTAGCTAACACTTACATAATGGTCACTTTGCACTGATTACTGTTCTATTTATGTATAAATTTAAGTCCTTAAAACAACCATATGAAATAGGTAGTTATTCCCATTTTTACAAATGAGGAAACTCAGGAAAAGAAGTTGATTAATTTTCCCAGAGTTCAACAGTTATACTACAAATGGATTGAACAAACCAGTAAAACAAATCCAAAAAAGGTAGCACACAGAAGCAAGAAACCTCTTTGCATAGATTAGCCTAATAATCTTAGAAATACTTTTACAAATAGAAGAAAAAGTTTCATACGGTTTTAAATATTGACTCTAAAACACTGACTAAGGTGGAGTCTGAATCAAGTGATAAAGATTTAGCCAACAACTTATCCTTTCCCTTTTGAGTGAAGAAGCATTTTAGTGTTTCAACTAATAGAGTCTCAGGCAATGTAAGAACTGGCAAATTTTGTCCTGTTGGCTGCCAAATTGGACTCTATTTAATTGCTGATGCAACATAAAAGTGACTTAATGGATTTTGAGTAGAGAGAAATGGAATAAACTTCTAAGCCTCTATGAGAGAAATTTCACTGGAGTAGAAGAGGGTAAAGTAGCCAGAGTTTACCCGCTCTGGTCGATGAAGTGGATGGAAAGGAAAACTAACGAATCTTTAGCATCCTTATTCTGGATTCAATCTGATAATGGCAGGTTATTTTTACAATATTATTTCTGCCTAAGCTATAGTCCCCCCTCCCCCGCCAACAAAACATTCTGACCAGCATTCTAACGTGTATTTGTGGAGTTGCTTTAGAAAGAGGAACTAGTCCCAGGAAAGGGGAATGTATTTAGAATATATCATAATCAAATTATGGGGGGACAGGTTTTTCCTAAACATTTTAATTAAAAGTACTTTATTTCTTATTTTTGTTGTTGTTGTTGTTTTGTTTTAAGAGATGGAATCTTGCTCTGTCGCCCAGTTTGGAGTACAGTGGTGCAATCTCAGCTCACTGCAACCTCTGCCTCTGGGTTCAAGCAATTCTTCTGCCTCAGCCTTCCAAGTAGCTGGGATTGCAGGTGCCTGCCACCATGCACAAATAATTTTTGTATTTTTAGTAGAGATAGAGTTTCGCCATGTTGGCCAGGCTGGTCTTGAACTCCTGACCTCAGGTGATCTGCCCGCCTCAGCCTCCCAAAGTGCTGGGATTACAGGTGTGAGCCACTGTGCCTGGCTTTATTCCTTATACTTAAAGATATTCATTATGTCTGTTTATGAGTGAAAAAGTGAAAATAGCTTAATATACAACTGTCAGATAATGCTTAAGCAAATTATGTTACGTTAGTACAAAGACTATTATGCTGGGTTTAAAGTTAATGTTTATAGGACTTCTGTTCCTGGGAATGGTGGAGTAATAGGGACGGGATTTACCCTTTTGCCAAAAACAAGAAGAAAACCAGATGCATGGCTAAAATTACGGATAAAACAGTAATTTTCAGAGATTGTATTATAAGCAGCGTAAAGTTACAAAATCAGGGAAACAAACAGGCTGTGCCTTACAGTTGCCTCTGTTTATACCTGGCACCATTTTCCAGGCTGCAAGGAAGGGGAACCCAAAATGGCCTGGCAGCCTCACCAATTTGAACTAGAATTTGCAGGGCTGAATACCAGAGAGGATGATCCTTTATTAGCAGTTGCAGAGATCCGCAGAGGGGTCCTTTGACTGAATACTAATCTATGCATGTATAAGAGGAAACTATTAATAACAGGGAGTTTTGACTTCTGCAGGGTGTCCTGGCCTAAAAGCTGTCAATGCATGGGATTTTGCAGAGGTTGCACTTTGATCCCTATAGACAGTATTATCCAGGTTCATTGCTTCCACATTACATGTTTTAGAAGAATCTTATTACTAAATTAATGTTATTCTTGTGTTTTGAGACCAACATAGAGGGGCAGGACCCATTGGATCCTTGAGTTTGGAAAGTATTTCTTTGCAGTTTGCTTCTTTTTTTCTTTTATTTGCGATCTAAACCGCCTTTTTATCTGTCTTCTACCTTTTCTCCTTCCTTTTTTTAAACCTAAAAACATTTTCTTTGTAATTCAGTTTGAACTTTTACTATAATGTAGCTTATTTCTTATTTGGGAACTTTAATTTTATAAACCTAGATATGATTTTGCTAGAAGAATTGTTTTTTTTGGTGGCTCCAGAAGGTTGTACCGGAATGCCTTAGATTGCCAGCAGGTACCCATTCCCCTCCTGTGATGACCTGAGTCCTTTTGCCTTTCTGTTACCACCGTAAAATTTTTACTAGGGTTTGAAGAAATGGTTGAGGGTAAAATTCTTAGTCTTTCTTGGCAAAATAACATTTTGTAACTGATTTAAATACACATTGTTTTAACCCATTTGTCTTTTTTTTCACTTTTTTTTTTTTTTTCCCCTCCCCACAGGTACCAGAGAAGAAAGGAAAAGAAAGAAATACTGGTTTTGGTGGGCCAGTTATTAGTTCTCTATATCATGAAGAAACCATCAGGTAATTTGTCTTCTGATCTTTGATAATTGGAATATATATGCATGTATGTGTGTGTGTGTTTGCATGCGCATATGTATATATGTACTATATATTTTTAATTTTGAAAACTTCAATTTGTGAAGCATTCTTTCTTAACATGAAACTGATTTGGTGGTATTTGCAGCAGGACAATAAATGACAGGAAATAATTTTTTAGGTGTATAATCTTTAAAATCAATTAAATGTCTGAATCAGTGCCAGATAAGTGTGTGAATAAGTGATGATAATTGCTTTTCATCAGTGTCTAATAATAACTGTCTCATTCAGCGACTTTTCCCTACATAAGTAGTTGGCAGGGCAAGATTTTGTGTCTCAATCTAAAGCTAAGGATTTTTGTGTTAATTTTCCTCAAAATACTATTTCTTTTACAGATTTTAATTTTTATAATTTGTTTAATTAAAAGTTAATTTAATTTGCTCCAAATTAAAAGTCATTTTGGAATATAAAATGATATAGCCACTGTGGAAAACTGAAGTTTCCTCGGAAAGTTAAAATAGAATTACCATATGATCCACCAATTCTGCTTCTGGGAATGTATCCAAAACAAAGCAGAATCTCAAAGACATATTTGCACACCCATGTTCATAGCAGTACTCTGTACGGTAGCCAATAGGTGGAATCATCTGTTGACAGATGAATGTATAAACAAAATGTAGTATATGCAATGGAATATTATTCAGCCTTAAAAAGGAAGGAAATTTTGGACCTTGAGGACATTATGCTAAGTAAAATAAGGAGTCACAAGAACACACTTAGTGATTATACTTACATGAGGTATTTAGAGTAGTCAAACTCATAGAAACAGAAAGTAGTCAAAAATCAGAGAGAGAGTAAAATGATGGTTGCCAGGAGCTAGCGGGTAGGGGAAACGGGAATTTGTTTAATAGGGACAGAGTTTCAGTTTTGCAAGATGATAAAGTTATGGAGATTACACAACAGTGTGAATATACTTAACACTACTGAACTGTACACTTAGAAATATTTTAGCTTTTAGTTTTTGAGAGTGAGGATCATATTTTACCCATCTCTGCATCCTATCTGAGGAAAACCCCCAAACTTAGTAGATGTTCAGTGAAAGTGCTCAGAACTTGGGAGGTAGCTACAGCTGCTTCTTTTAAAGAGCTGATAGTTTAGTGACTATTGCTTATATAGGATTAGCCTAATAACCCTATGGTAAAACAGAGAGCTGCTGGTTTGGTTCCGCTCTGATGTGCCCATCCTCACCTTTCCCTTAAGCAATAAAAAATGTATAGGCTATTTTTCTTTCCTAGCTAGATAAATAAGTTGAGATAGTTTCTTGACTTTCCTTTAAAAAAAAAAAAAAATCACTAAGCTTAAGTTTCTAACAATATCAATCACTTATCTATAAATAATAATGATCTTTATTTCGTGTGCCATTTTCCTTAAGGTTACCCAGACTCTAGTATTTTTTAAAATGACATACTGAATACAGTTTCTTTTAGAATGGCTGATGACATGACTGATCGCAGTAGCTTTACAGAACATGAAGCAAATCAAATGTACTCCAGTTGTAGTGAGAGTAGAAATCCTGAGATAGAGTTAAAGAGTTAAACTGTGTTGGAAGGGTTAATCTTCCTTCCTTTATCCCCCACCCAATTGCTAGTGAAGTGACTTTTAGATTTAAATCAATATTTAGAATTTTGACTGTGATAAACAATGACAAAGAATAATATAGTTTAATTTTTTTTAGAGATTTTAATTCAGCTCAACACATTTTTATTGAATCTGTAATGACACAGTACATTGTGAATATTTGTGCTTCTCAGCATCTTCACTTTTAAATAATATTTTCTTACTACTTTTGGCATTTTTATGAAAGTATATTTAATAAATATTATTAAGTGAATGAAATATGAACCTTCGCTGTGGGCAAAACTGGTTAGATTTGGCCTTTTTTTCATGAAGTCTTCATTAAGTATTAGTCTTAACGATATCTAAATCTTCATATTCTGAACATACTGTTAAGAAAGAGTAAGAAACAATGTGAACAAGCCACTGAAAGCCTTTTAAGTATTACAAACACAGTAATTTTGTTACTGCTACAGCAGATCGGAAATTACAGCAACTAATTATATTCTTGTATTGAGAGAGTTCTTTTTATAGTGTAATAGAATTCCAATGTAACAAATTAGGCCATAATGAAAATTGTTATGTACTGAAATGTTGGATTATTCCAGTGAAGGGCCAGATCTAGCCCCTGTGATTTCTTAAGTATCAGAATGCAGTTGCAACAATGAAAATGGTCTGTTTTTTGAAGTTATGTAGTCAAGTCATGCTTGTATTTTGGTGAAATATAATGTCTGGTGTCTTATTTTTTTAAGAGAAAGTTGTGCTTTAATTGATGTCAATTGCAATTTCTTGGGAGAATTATGTTCAGCTGAGGTGAAAGTAACTAGGTTCTAGAATTTTAGAAGCATCAAATGGTGGACTTGGATAAAAGCAAAAATTTTTTTCTATAGTACCATCGTTTTTAAAAAGGACATAAAATAGTGTATTTTGAAGGTTTGTTTTGATACTTTATAAACTCCAGATTTTTTGCATTTGTAAAGATTAGACAATTCAGTATCTAATAAATCCATTTGGTTAAGTTTGGGTTCTATTGTTGTGGCAGCTTTTCTGATGAATGTGTATTATATAATAGATGATAAGTTATGAGCTTTAGTTTTAAGGTAAATGTTCTTGAGCCAAGGGCCACGGGGCCAATTCTGAGCTTGCTTTCTGCTTTTCACCCTGTCATAGAAAGTATCAATATAATGTCAGAGGTTCAGATCTCTCTGTTAATCTCACAGAGCTCTGACATCAGTTCTCATTCTGAAGCTAGTTAATTGTTCTGTAATATAATTGAGGGGGTGTAGTAGGCTGATTCTAATTAAATACAAAAAATTGTGGATCCAAACCGCTGACATTCAAATGCTAGTTCCATTACTTACCAGCTGTGTGATATTGGGCAGTTACTTACCTGTAAAATGGGGATAATTATAGTACTTGTCTCACTTGGTACTTAGATTACGTGAATGCATACACAGGCATCCTAGAAGAGGATCTGATATAAAATAAGCTACTATGTAACTGTTAGTTTTTATAATATTTTAATTCAGCAGAGGAAGCACCTACAGAGGAGCTAGGAGCTAATGCTAGGAGCTAAAATATCATGGCATTCTGGTTATATAATTAAATACAAGTTGTTTGCTTTTGCAAAAGAAAATGGAATACAAGGAAGGGAGAGCCAGTGCTTTTTGAACTGTGGAAACAAGAGAGTAACAAATCTTACAACAGGGAGTTACCTCTAGTTTTGACATCAGCTGTGTTTTTCATTTATACTGCAGATGGGCAGAAAAAGCACTGGTTAATAAGCATAGGGGTTTGTAGAGTGAAATGGTTCTGCACTACATATACAAGAAATTGCTCTGGTTACTTGTATGCTTTAAAGGTTTGATCTAGAAGTTTGCACATAAACTGAGAAATTAGAGCAAGAATTAAAAATACAGTAAGTGAAGATTGAACAGTACCCACACCACCCTACAATAAGATTTGGTCCTCCCTGTTATATTTTGTAGTTTGATGTCATGTAATCTATTAGAATTTTATTAATTCCACTTACACAGACAGCCATCTGGACCTTCTCTAAGCAAGACCAGACCTAGTATACAACTGAAATGATTGATGGGCTCTGGAATTGATTAGTTGTTCTGTGAGACAAATGAAGTGTTTTGGCAGAAAATACCAGAGGTCGCTGCTTGTGGTCAGACACAAAAGCCTGCAGAATTTCAAAGAGATGCTTTCATCGTTGACTTATAAAGTTTCCATTTTTAAACAATAATGGATTTTGAAAATATTTCCCAGATATCTTTTCATTGGCTGCTCTCTAGTCCTGATTATAAATGGAAGAATATAAGTATAAAAAATTAGAATGAAAGTGATTTTTTTATGCTTTAATTTTGTATTCTTGGTGAAATATGAACTAGCTTGGAAGTAGCATAAAAGCCTGTCACACATAAATTATACTCTAAAATTTTCCTGAAGGAGATATGATTGGAGAAAAAGCTGTAACTTATATAGTTTTATTGTAAATTACTTCTAAAATCAGATGGTATAAAATTCTATTTATTTATTCAAAATTTCACAGTTAGATTGCAGCCTGTTTTTAACAAATCTGCTTAAAGATTCTTAAGCTTCCAGAGTATGTGTTATACATATTTGTGTTTTAAAAAATGAATATTCAGCTTTTTATGTGTTTAACAGGCAAAGTCATTCTGGGACACTACTATCCTAATGACACTAGTGCCTTTAGCACCAAAAAGCTTCCCCCCATCTGTTTGGCTGGTGGTGGTGTAATACTTGCCTATTTCACCATGTTGCCTGTGATCAACATTGTGTTAACACCTTGGTGATAGGTGATAAATTGGATGACATATGTCTTGTTACATTCTGGTTATTCTTTGAGGACTACACAAGTGTGTATAGGCAAGTGGGCAACTCCCCCTGGAGAATCTGACTGCTCAGAATGAACTTGAGTTATGGATTTATTCAGCCTGTAAAACCTCAGCTGGCATAAATAATTGAGAAAGCAAAGGTTTGTCTTTGGTGCATACCTCAGGGACTCATGGCTGCCTTCCTCCTCTCTACCTCCCTTTCTTATGAAAATGATTCCAGTTGCACTCCTAGATAATAACACACCAAGCAATTAAAAGCCATGGGTGGCTGGAGAGAGGAGAAAAGGTTTAGTTAATGAGCTTTTCCTCTTCCAGTGCCCATGAGAGCCTCAGGAATGACAAGGCGATTAAAGCGAAGAGATAATTATAGATTATGTGAAAATGGGTCCCCTGGGACACGTGGGTCTTGACATAAACAGTAACTGTTGTAAAAGTCTCCTGGCTCTCATATTCACCCTTTTCTAGCGTGCTTCATTTACCTCCAGTGTGCTCAGTGTCATCATGCCA